CCCAGCTTAATCCACAACTATAACAAGACATACATCACTTACAAATACTCCATCATTTGCTTTGAGAAATCCTTTAGTGCATCTCCAAAAAATAAATAACCAACAACTGACCAAAAGAGACCAAGAGTCGAGGCAACGAACAAGGAACCTCCATTAGAGAATAAACCTACTTCACATCATTTTTAGAGCAGATTTTAGATTCTAACAACCAGTGTCGTGCCTAGACTTCCTGGGGTCTGAGGCGAATTTTAAATAAAAATTATCTTCTACATATAAATTTTAACGAGAATTATTTTAATTTTAAATAATTGTTAGAGTGCCAATAAAAAATTAATAAAATTTACTAAGAAAATAAACTCTTATTTTTAACATGGAAGTGGTTTTGAATTTGGGATGAAAAACTAAAAAACTCTTTTACTTTAATATTTACCACTAGATTACATAAACTTTTTAAAAATTGAGGCCCTAAAATTATGCTCCCTCCATTTCAAAATATAAGATGTTTTGACAATCCTAAGTACTTTTTAATTTTATTGAATATTGTGTAACCACTAATATTTTGCAGTTTTTTGTGTGATTGGTCAGATTATTTTTATTAGCTATATTAAATAATACTTTTTGGAAGAAAAGTAGCTTATAAAACTCCGCATGTTTAGTCAAAACATTTTACATTTTGAAACGGAGGGAGTATAATATTATCTGGGGTCCTAGACGAATGCATTTTTAAAATCATGGAAGGCACAACCTTGCCAACAACATAAGATCATGAAAATATCATAGAAAAACGTGGATAAATTAACAAAATGTTATTTTTATTTTTATTTATATCATTATAAAATATAAAAAATTTTAATAGATCTTTTAACGAGATACACAACCGGAGGATAAAAACCAAATTCTCAACAACTAAGTAGCCAGAAAACAACCCTTCCCCGGACACAAAGCCCTCATCGAAAGGAGACAAAAACAAACACAAATGCAAAACCAATCCTAAAATTACGTGCCGGAATCCAAACCACATGAACCCAAGCTTAAATTTACAACTAACAACATATACATCACCTACAAAAATCATTTTCTTCGAGAGATCTTAAGCCAGTGGCTTGCCAAAGAGACCAAGAGGAGGCAAGGCAGCGAACGTGGAAACTCTTATAACGAACAAACCTATCTCACATCTTTTTAGACCAAGATTTCATACTCCGACAAAAAGGTATCATGCTAATATCATAGAAAAATACGTGGATAAGGTAACAAAATGTTATTATAATTCTTATGTATCAT